ATATCCAACCCTCCTTTAAAGGCGGGCCCATTTTTACTTCCATTTTCCGGACTCAAGTCGACTATATAAAAAAAACGTTTCCGAATCCTTCACTAAATATTCCCTGCTCACACTCCAAAAAATCGTAGTCCAAGACATTCGTTCATTCACTTAATCAAAACACGCTCATGCAGCTGTGGAAAGCCCCCGCCCAAAAAACCTCCTTTACCCCCTTTCCAACCTTTCGAGGACGACCCCTACCCTCTTTCCTTCCCTATAGATTTATATGCTTTCCATGTCATTCTACTTTGATCCATTCTCTCTAAATGACCAAACCACCTCAACAACCCCTCTTCTGCCCTCTGACTAATGCTTTTATTAACTCCACCCCTTTTCTCCTAATTTCCAAAATCCGAATTTTCTGCATAATATTTACACCACACATTGCCCTTAGACAGGACATCTCCACTGCCTCCAACCGTCTCCTCGCTGCTGCATTTACCACCCAAGCTTCACATCCATATAAGGACATCTCCACTGCCTCCAACCGTCTCCTCGCTGCTGCATTTACCACCCAAGCTTCACATCCATAAAGGACTTTCTCACTGCCCTCCAACCGTCTCCTCGCTGCTGCATTTACCACCCAAGCTTCACATCCATATAAGAGTGTTGGTACTACTATACTTTCATACATTCCCTCCTTTGCCTCCATAGATAACGTTTTTTGACTCCACATATACCTCAACGCACCAATCACTTTTTTTCCCTCATCAATTCTATGATTAACCTCATCCTTCATAAATCCATCCGCCGACACGTCAACTCCCAAGTATCTGAAAACATTCACTTCTTCCATACTCCTCCTCCCCAATTTGATATCCCTTTTTTCTTTATCTAAATATTTGAATACCCTCATCACCCTTTCTCTTTTCTATGTTCACTTTCAACTTTCTACCTTTACACACATTCTCAAACTCATCCACTAACCTTTGCAATTTTTCTTTAGAATCCCATAAAGCACAGTATCATCAGCAAAAAGTAACTGTGTCAATTCCCATTTTGAATTTGATTCCCCATAATTTAATCCCAAACCCCTCTCCCGAACACCTAGCATTTACTTCCTTTACAACCCCATCTATAAAATATTTAAAAAAACCCTGGTGAAAATTACACATCCTGTCTAAGACCTACTTTTCCCGGGGAAATATTCTCCTTTCTTCTACACACCCTAACCTGAGCCTCACTATCCTCATAAAGCTCTTACAGCATTTAGTAACTTACCACCTATTCCATAAACTTGCAACATCTGCCACATTGCTCCTCTATCCACTCTTCATATGCCTTTTCTAAATCCATAAATGCAATAAAAATTCCCTACCTTTATCTAAATACTGTTCACATATATGCTTCAATGTAAACACTTGATCTACACATCCCTAAACCCCCTCTGAAGCCTCCTTGCTCATCCGCAATTCTACATTCTGTCTTACCTCTAATTCTTTCAATTATAACTCTACCGTATTTCTTTTCCTGGTATACTCAGTAAACTTATTTTCTATAATTTTTACAATCTCTTTTGTCCCCTTTCCCTTTTTATAAAGGGACTATACATGCTCTCCGCCAATCCCTATTTACCTTCCCCTCTTTCATACATTTATTAAACAAAAGTACCAACCCCTCCAACACTATATCCCCCCCTGCTTTTAAACATTTCTGTCATGATCCCATCAGTTCCAGCTGCTTTACCCCCTTTCATTCTACGTAATGCCTCACGTACTCCACCACACTTACATTCTGCTCTTCTTCACTCCTAAAAGATGGTATACCTCCCTGGCCAGTGCATGAAATTACTGCCTCCCTTTCTTCCTCAACATTTAAAAGTTCCTCAAAATATTCTCGCCATCTACCTAATACCTCCCTCTCCCCATCTACTAACTCCCCTACTCTGTTTTTAATGGACAAATCCATACTTTCATATATATTATATATATATATATATATATATATATATATATATATATATATATATATATATATATATATATATATATATATATATCCCTTTTCTGTATGTAAAACTATAGTTATTCTCTATAAAATGTATTTTTTTGTTAATATTTCCCATAAGAAATCATGTAAATCCTATTAATCCCATTCCAGACATCCAAAAATATTAAAAAAAAAAAAACATTTTATAGAGAATAACTATAGTTTTTACATACAGAAAAGGGATGAAATTTGAGGGTCCACTGTATATATATATATATATATATATATATATATATATATATATATATATATATATATATATATATATATATATATATATATTATATATATATATATATATATATATATATATATATATATATATATATATAAGTGGAGGTTATGAGGATAACAAAAAGATTAGGTGATGAAAGATTGAATATCAGATTGGAGGGAGAGAGTATGGAGGAGGTGAACGTATTCAGATATTTGGGAGTGGACGTGTCAGCGGATGGGTCTATGAAAGATGAGGTGAATCATAGAATTGATGAGGGAAAAAGAGTGAGTGGTGCACTTAGGAGTCTGTGGAGACAAAGAACTTTGTCCTTGGAGGCAAAGAGGGGAATGTATGAGAGTATATAGTTTTACCAACGCTCTTATATGGGTGTGAAGCGTGGGTGATGAATGTTGCAGCGAGGAGAAGGCTGGAGGCAGTGGAGATGTCATGTCTGAGGGCAATGTGTGGTGTGAATATAATGCAGAGAATTCGTAGTTTGGAAGTTAGGAGGAGGTGCGGGATTACCAAAATGTTGTCCAGAGGGCTGAGGAAGGGTTGTTGAGGTGGTTCGGACATGTAGAGAGAATGGAGCGAAACAGAATGACTTCAAGAGTGTATCAGTCTGTAGTGGAAGGAAGGCGGGGTAGGGGTCGGCCTAGGAAGGGTTGGAGGGAGGGGGTAAAGGAGGTTTTGTGTGCGAGGGGCTTGGACTTCCAGCAGGCATGCTTGAGCGTGTTTGATAGGAGTGAATGGAGACAAATGGTTTTTAATACTTGACGTGCTGTTGGAGTGTGAGCAAAGTAACATTTATGAAGGGATTCAGGGAAACCGGCAGGCCGGACTTGAGTCCTGGAGATGGGAAGTACAGTGCCTGCACTCTGAAGGAGGGGTGTTAATGTTGCAGTTTAAAAACTGTAGTGTAAAGCACCCTTCTGGCAAGACAGTGATGGAGTGAATGATGGTGAAAGTTTTTCTTTTTCGGGCCACCCTGCCTTGGTGGGAATCGGCCGGTGTGATAAAAAAAAAAAAAAAAAAAATATATTATATATATATATATATATATATATATATATATATATATATTATATAATATATATATATCGAAGTATTCTCTGTAAACTCAGTAAATGTGAACAGTATCTCAGTGTATATTAACAGTTAACTATATACCCTAATTTAGGATGTAAGTCATTCCTGAGTGTTACACAGGTGGCTGACAGTCTTACTGACTCGTCCAGTCGACAGTCTATAAACTTCAATCTTAAAAACGGATATAAACACACCTTATACAATTGACATTCACTATGTACACTGTACATAATAAAAAATATAGTTTCATTATGAGTCAGAGGATTTATTAGTATCAAGATATTGTTAACTCATAACCTGCAACAAACTCACCAGCGACAACCAACAAAAAATAACCAAAAATTGATCACATTTAAGTAAGCGATTAAAGACTGGCACATGACTAAGAACGCTATCTCATATCTTATCCAGCTTATCACAAGGAGTTTAAGTGCCGTAATGCTAATCCTGTCATAAATTGCTTTGCACAGCGGTAGCGGCATAATCAAATATGATGAACAACAGAAGAAAAAACTAATAAACAAAGAAAATAATGAAAATAAAATTTAACTGGGCGCCTTAGAGCATGGCTGCCTTTGTGAGGTATCTATTTTCTAATGGTTATAATTGTAATTATAATTTTTAAAGGGGTGGACCGGTAAACCAGCGGAAGGCCTCGGTCAGATGACCAAAAGTTGTAGCTGTGACTAAGACCCGCGTCAGGAAACACTTGTCCTGTTTCCTGACAAACATTACCTAACCTAACGTGAGACCTCTGTCTTCACTTACATGAAGTTCAAGACGCTGAGCACTTGTTGCCAGACTCCCGTCTCATCTATACTTCAGAATACATATCAACTCAAAATTACCTCTCCATTACTACTGTCTCAGTGATGGACTGATTACATCGTGTTTACATCTCTATTGTTTCTTCTACCTCCTCTGTCCTCGACTGAAGAAGCCTACTGTAAAGACGAAACGTTTCGGAATAAAGATACCTAACTGTTGTACATGTATCTTACATATCAACTTGCCGGTATTTATACAATTATCATATTTATTACTGTCTCCAGTGTTACAATCGCCTGTGAAGACACTGGAGACGCCTGAAGCCCGCTGCTGCTGCGCGGGCGAATACGACAACAGAGACGTATACGTGTATTACTCATGTACTTGTCAATATTGCATACCATTTACAATACAGCTCGAGTGCTTTTAAAGTAATCCTTGCGGCTCTGATGTTTTTAACTTAACAATTCAATGTTAACAGTGAAACATATATTTTCCAATTTTCATCCAAGCCAATTTGTTTTATCAATTAGTAATCAATGAATTAATGTTCCATCAAGGTAGTACTAACGTGTAGGCAGAAAAAACTGAATAAACGAAATTGTCCCATCATCTGAGATAAAATATACGAGTCTCTGTTAGAGTTCTCGAGTCCACTGCCCTCCAATACATAATTCTAGACAACAGTCTGACTGATCAGACAGTACTGTGATTACTGGACGAAGGATGAAGCCTCCACTAATCCACGCGTTGAATTAACCCAGCACGAGGTTGTTTTTATTACACTTCGTGCAGTATATATACTTATAAACACAAACAGAAAGATGAACGTTTACTACGACTTAATCTGAATTCATGTAGCGATAATTTAATGTCAGAACAGACATTCAAAACTTACTTTGATGGTGAGGTTAAAATATCTGATGTCTCCCTCCTGGTCGATGGCCTCAAAGTCGAGAGGCGCCGCTGGTTTGATCTCCCCGCTCAGGGGGTGAATGGTGAAGTTACTCAGTGGGTCACCACTCAGGATGGTGTAGCGAACCTCGTGGTTTACAGTGCCTGCACACCACACGAGTACACAGTCAAAACATTGTGCAAATAGTGACACATGTAGATTAGCATAAAAAAAATACGTATACAAAAAAAAAAAAAATAGAAAAAAATAAACTACTGTACCTCAATTTATGTTTATTGGATGACTAAGATTTCACAGTTTACCACATTTATATACCTATTATAACCACACTCTTAATTAATGTAAACAATGTTGTAATTTACAGCGTAAGTCAGCAAAAAATCTGTAACTTTAAGGAAAATAAAGGTTATTCGTTTACTTAGACTATTATTCTAGTTCAAGTGTGGATAATTAATACTAGAACTTTTTGATATTAAGTGTGTTGGTAAATTTTAGCCTTAACGACCCACATGCAGTTAACACAGCGATGAGCAGAGTAACTCGTATACAGTAAGTGGAGTGACTCGTACACAGTAAGTGGAGTGACTCGTATACAGTAAGTGGAGTAACTCGTATACAGTAAGTGGAGTGATTCGTATACAGTAAGTGGAGTAACTCGTATACAGTAAGTGGAGTGATTCGTATACAGTAAGTGGAGTGACTCGTATACAGTAAGTGGAGTGACTCGTATACAGTAAGTGGAATGACTCGTATACAGTAAGTGGAGTAACTCGTATACAGTAAGTGGAGTGACTCGTACACAGTGGAGTAACTCGTATACAGTAAGTGGAGTAACTCGTATACAGTAAGTGGAGTGACTCGTATACAGTAAGTGGAGTGACTCGTATACAGTAAGTGGAGTAACTCGTATACAGTAAGTGGAGTAACTCGTATACAGTAAGTGGAGTGACTCGTATACAGTAAGTGGAATGACTCGTATACAGTAAGTGGAGTAACTCGTATACAGTAAGTGGAGTGACTCGTATACAGTAAGTGGAGTGACTCGTATACAGTAAGTGGAGTAACTCGTATACAGTAAGTGGAGTAACTCGTATACAGTAAGTGGAGTGACTCGTATACAGTAAGTGGAATGACTCGTATACAGTAAGTGGAATGACTCATATACAGTAAGTGGAGTGACTCGTATACAGTAAGTGGAGTGACTCGTATACAGTAAGTGGAGTAACTCGTATACAGTAAGTGGAGTGACTCGTACACAGTAAGTGGAGTGACTCGTATACAGTAAGTGGAGTGACTCGTATACAGTAAGTGGAGTGACTCGTATACAGTAAGTGGAATGACTCGTATACAGTAAGTGGAGTGACTCGTAAACAGTAAGTGGAGCGACTCGTATACAGTAAGTGGAGCGACTCGTATACAGTAAGTGGAGCGACTCGTATACAGTAAGTGGAGTGACTCGTACACAGTAAGTGGAGTGACTCGTATACAGTAAGTGGAGCGACTCGTATACAGTAAGTGGAGCGACTCGTATACAGTAAGTGGAGTGACTCGTACACAGTAAGTGGAGTGACTCGTATACAGTAAGTAGAGTGACTCGTATACAGTAAGTGGAATGACTCGTATACAGTAAGTGGAGCGACTCGTATACAGTAAGTGGAGTGACTCGTACACAGTAAGTGGAGTGACTCGTATACAGTAAGTGGAGTGACTCGTATACAGTAAGTGGAATGACTCGTATACAGTAAGTGGAGTGACTCGTAAACAGTAAGTGGAGTGACTCATATACAGTAAGTGGAGCGACTCGTATACAGTAAGTGGAGCGACTCGTATACAGTAAGTGGAGTGACTCGTACACAGTAAGTGGAGTGACTCGTATACAGTAAGTGGAGCGACTCGTATACAGTAAGTGGAGCGACTCGTATACAGTAAGTGGAGTGACTCGTACACAGTAAGTGGAGTGACTCGTATACAGTAAGTAGAGTGACTCGTATACAGTAAGTGGAATGACTCGTATACAGTAAGTGGAGCGACTCGTATACAGTAAGTGGAGTGACTCGTACACAGTAAGTGGAGTGACTCATATACAGTAAGTGGAGCGACTCGTATACAGTAAGTGGAGCGACTTGTATACAGTAAGTGGAGTGACTCGTACACAGTAAGTGGAGTGACTCGTATACAGTAAGTAGAGTGACTCGTATACAGTAAGTGGAATGACTCGTATACAGTAAGTGGAGTGACTTGTATACAGTAAGTGGAATGACTCGTATACAGTAAGTAGAGTGACTCGTATACAGTAAGTGGAATGACTCGTATACAGTAAGTGGAGTGACTCGTATACAGTAAGTGGAATGACTCGTATACAGTAAGTGGAGTGACTCGTAAACAGTAAGTGGAGTGACTCGTATACAGTAAGTGGAGTGACTCGTATACAGTAAGTGGAATGACTCGTATACAGTAAGTGGAGTGACTCGTATACACTCAGTGCAGTGACTCGTATACAGTAAGTGGAATCACTCGTATACAGTAAGTGGAGTGACTCGTATACAGTAAGTGGAGTGACTCATATACAAGTGGAGTGACTCGTATACAGTAAGTGGAGTGACTCGTATACAGTAAACTAGGTGAGTACAAATAGGAAGCGCGTCTGTCTGGCGCTCAGCAGACGGAGGATCAAGCCTCCACGTCATGCGCTGAATGATCCCCATGGATTTAGCGCTTAACATAAATTATATATATATATATCGTATACAGTAAGTGGAGTGACTCGTATACACTCAATACAGTGACTCATATACAGTAAGTGGAATCACTCGTATACAGTAAGTGGAGTGACTCGTATACACTCAGTGCAGTGACTCGTATACAGTAAGTGGAGTGACTCGTATACACTCAATACAGTGACTCATGTACAGTAAGTGGAATCACTCGTATACAGTAAGTGGAATGACTCATATATACTAAGTGGAGGAGTGACGCACCATTGAGGTCATCATCTCTGGCGGTGACAACGAAGGGTTCAGGGAAGGTGGCAGAGTTCTCGTAGAGTCGAGCCTCGTAGCGCCTCTGCAAGAACACTGGCGGGTGGTCGTTCACATCCTCCACCACCACCTTCACCACCACGGTGTTCCTGCCACACAAGACACTATTGGTAAGTCTTACGTCAATTATCTTCGCATGTCCTAAATTTAATCAAGCATCACCCAACACTACAAATAAGTTTTATCTGCATGATTTACACCCTGTAAATCTTCCTTCAACCAACACACTGTGTAACTCAACCATCGCAACATTTAAAATTATTTAATATTCATATTATTTTTATATACAGAGAGAGAGAGAGAGAGAGAGAGAGAGAGAGAAGAGAGAGAGAGAGAGAGAGAGAGAGAGAGAGAGAGAGAGAGAGAGAGAGAGAGAGAGTAAACAAGGTGAGCCAGTGCGTACTAACCTGTTGCCGCGGCCGAGGTCATCTCTGGCCTCCACAGTGAGGTAGTGTTGAGCAACACTCTCCCTGTCCAAGGCTCCGGCCTCCTTCAAGGTGATCACTCCAGTCTCTGGCTCCATCTCCAGTCTGTGGGTAAACATCACCAAGGTCACACTTCATCAAGGTTACACTTCAAGGTCACACTTCATCAAGGTTACACTTCATCAAGGTCACACAACTATAATAGTCTGCTTAATTAACCACTAAACACCCAGTAAAAAATAACGTTGTCCCTTCAAGCAGTGTGGCCTTGATGCTGAAGGGTTCTTGATCCAAGCAATTGGAGCTATGCTCCCATTCCATTCATCAAACCAACACTATCACACTAGGGGACGTCTCAAACCAACATGTTTCTTACTAAGGGATGACTTAAACCATCGTTCTCACACTAGCGGATGTCTTACACCAATATTCTTAAACCTGGGTATGTCCTGAACTAATATTCTCACACTAGGGGAATGTCATGAACTAATATTCTCACACTAGGGGAATGTCATGAACTAATATTCTCACACTAGGGGAATGTTATGAACTAATATTCTCACACTAGGGGAATGTCATGAACAAGAAATACAGTAAAGCACTACAACCTTATAAGAACTTACTTGTCGGCTAGGGCGCCCCTCAGGTCGGTGTACCTGATGCCCCGAGTACCGTAGGTGTCACTGTCAGGGTCGGAAGCCTGCACCCATACCAGCGTCGCCCCTACTGCAGCGTCCTCGGGAATCAACACCTGCCACACACACCATCACACATGTATAAAACACATGCACACACGGTTGGGCAGTATACCTCATACGAGGTATACTTCTGTACTGATAATTATGCACTGCATAATTATAAGATTTTTCGGTGACAAATCAGCATCGGGAATTTTCAGACTGATATGTGTCTCTCCAGAAAATCCTGATTAAATTTCAAGGGAAATGTTAGTTAGTACACAGTGAAAAAAATACCTATACATTTCAGATCGTCCCAACTTCTTAGGAAATACATGCAGCTTTAAATCTCAAAAAACACCAGATATTTTCAGATTTTTTTTTTTTAGCAACAAATGATATTTAGGAAAATGTGATGATGCAATCACCACGTGAAATGAAACAAAATTTTCCAAGCGTTTTCAATTAAAAAACATCACCAGGTGGTGATTCTTTTCGTCACGGGAAATTGCACATTACATTAACCAACACTTTGGGGAGGAAAATTCACATTTGTGGATCATCGTCATGTCACCAGCAGATGCTAATTGACAATGATTCAGGGAAGACTGAAACATCCACAGTTTCTTCTTTGTTAAAAATGTGGGTTAATCTTTAGCTGCTCCAGCCCCGGAATTGTGACTATTTTTCAGAACGTATAGTTACGCTGTACTTTCAACCTGCTGCTAGTGATACAAATACAAGGTGTCCGGCAAGTCCATGTTCATTTTTTCCGTGTGATAACCTGAAGATAAATTACCCAAGTGTACAAATCGTGATTTGCTTGCGTGAACAATATTATATTGTAGCTATAAATAAAAGGCTTGCCTTTTTTATATCTTTACCTGCATTTACGAGCGCATACACATATTTATACGTAACTTAAACGATTAAAAGCAATTGTAGTCGTTTTCATTAAATATGAATCACATACAGACGTTATGTACGAATAACACATCACGAGAGCACTTGGAATTTTTTATCTTGGTTCATTATGAAGGTACATACAAAGGCATGACGGTTATATTATTGTATTTCATGTATGTATAAAGAGAGGGGTGTAGGCATCACCAGTACCCGCTTACCTCGTACTGATCCTCGCTGAAAATCGGGAAGTTGTCGTTGGTGTCTCGTATATGGACGGTGACGAGGGCTGAGGATGACTTGGGTCTCTCAGCAACAGTTTCCCGTGCTACCACTGTGAAGTTCACCACTGGGAAATACAAGAAAACTTGAACTTCGTCTTGCACCATAACTGCCGGACTTTATCCAGTTTTTCCTATGTTTAATCTATAAAATGTATACTAACATATATATTTGTATTCGAGAGTTGTTGGGAGGCTGAAGCACGACACTTCAAAATACAAACGAGCAGCTCTACCAAAGTACCATAGGCATTCACATGACCTCAGAATCATTGTACAAATTTATCCTATTGGTCTATAAAATCATTAAACTTCGCTAATTTAGTGAATGAAGTTACAGAAAAGGAGGCGAGTGATTTTTGTACAGGTAACATTCCTGCCCGAGAGGCACATTCATGCTAGTGGCTTTATTTGTGCTTAACAATACTTTATTGTATGTAAACTGCAATCTGTATGCTACACAAAGCCATAAAATACGTTTCTTTGTTTGTAAGCTGATCCTCTCTTTAATGTTAATGTACATATATAGTAACTCAATTTACCTCATTCCTAATATTTCTTTTATTGTAACTGATTTTCACATAGCTGCGTTACTTAGCTGTTTTAACTTTTAAAATTTAAATAATAAGATATTAAAAGGACCCTGGGTAATTTACGCTATGTATGATAATTGTACTTATGTATACTTGTACCTAAATCAACGTACTTATTTAACATACGTTTAAAGACAATTTTTTATTATTGATTGTGCCTGAAATTATATCAGCATGAAAAGTCATTTTACCTTTAACCTTTTCATAATCGAGCAACGCCGGGTTCCTCACACGGATGAGAAAGGAGGCGAAGTTGACTCCTTCAGGAGGCGTTATGTCAAACATCCCTCCGTCACCCTCCAGGAACATCCTGAAGGTTCCGTTGTTTCCCTGAAAGTGGCACCGGACAAACGATATTCACAAAACAAGGTAAACAATCTGATTTAAAATCTCAACGGAAATTTTCACAAAAGTTATAAAACAAAAAATAAGTAAGTGTAGCATGCGCAGTTTCTCTCAAAACCACAACAGAAAACGACAGCGAGGCGCTGTATATTACAGGCATGACCATCCCAGTTTGATGTATTATGAGATTCACAATTCATATATTCAACATTTACATTATATATGCATATAATTCACGCTCATAAATTTCTTCCAGTCAGAAAATAATGAAATTTATGTTATAAAAATGAAAGTGGTACGAAATATCAGATTTTCAGAATACAAGTAAATTTCTCACAAACAGATACTGTATGACTAGTAGATAGATATATGGAATGTTATTACTGTCTAGGACGTATATGAAGTCTCAATGACCTTCGTGTTGTGAGGAAAGCCTTAAATCTAATAGGCTTTACTGACTGTATAAATGCAGTGTGTCCAGTGTTTGTTTTTGTATAATTTCAAAACTTCTGTATCAATAGCTCAATTGATTTATTAAATAAAATTTAACTAATCTTAAATCAAACTGCTATTACAAAATTTAGCCATTTTTTTTACCATCTTTTAATTTTCTGTAAAGCAGTAACACCTACCCTACAGGCCCATACAAGCAAAACTGTAAATGATCTTTCCTATCCCATTTAAAGTCAAAATATTTATTCTTTTCCATTTATCCACCAATATATTTTTTTTAATATATAGAAGATAATCCCCGGTAGACAACATTCTTCTGTAAATAACAAAAAGGCACAATACCGTGACTGGAACGATACACAAATAACCCGCACATAAAAGACAGAAGCTTACGACGACGTTTCGGTCCGACTTGGACCATTGACAAAGTCACACTGTGTGACTGTCAATGGTCCAAGTCGGACCGAAACGTCGTCGTAAGCTTCTGTCTTTTATGTGCGGGTTATTTGTGTAACATTCTTCTGTATATCCTTCCACCCTTCTTCCCTTCCCAGTGATAATTAGTCTAAATCTGGTGCTTTATTTTTGTCAATATATACGTATATATACATACATATATATATATATATATATATATATATATATATATATATATATATATATATATATATATATATATATATATATATATATATATATATATATATATATACATATATATATATATATATATATATATATTATATATATATATATATATATATATATATATATATATATATATATAAATAATATATATATATGTCGTGCCTAATAGGTAAAACTGGTCAATTAGCAAGAACTCATTTAAAATTAAGTCCTTTCTAAAATTTTCTCTTATACGTTTAAAGATATATTTTTTTCATTAATGTTGATGAAAAAATTTATAATTTTGCACCAAAAGAAACTTAGAAAACTTACCTAACCTTATTATAACAAGCGCAATTTATTTTAGCCTAACCCAACTAAATATATTTTAGATTTGTTTACAATAATTTAATACTAAACAAACACAGTGAAATATATTTTTTTCGTTAGGGTCAGAATGATTTTGGCGAAATTATTGCATACACAAATTTTCACTTTTCCTATATGGCAAGATGAACGTTGCTATTTAAGCCAAGATCGCAAGTTCTGCCTATTCGGCACGACATTATATATATATATATATATATATAATATATATATATATATATATATATATATATATATATATATATATTATATATATATTCAACAAGTCGGCCGTCTCCCACCGAGGCAGGGTGACCCAAAAAAAGAAAGAAAATCCCCAAAAAGAAAATACTTTCATCATTCAACACTTTCACCACACTCACACATTATCACTGTTTTTGCAGAGGTGCTCAGAATACAACAGCTTAGAAGCATATACGTATAAAGATACACAGCATATCCCTCCAAACTGCCAATATCCCAAACCCCTCCTTTAAAGTGCAGGCATTGTACTTCCCATTTCCAGGACTCAAGTCCGACTATATGAAAATAACCGGTTTCCCTGAATCCCTTCACTAAATATTACCCTGCTCACACTCCAGCAGATCGTCAGGTCCAAAGTATCATTCGTCTCCATTCACTCCTAACACGCTCATGCACGCTTGCTGGAAGTCCAAGCCCCTCGCCCACAACAAAACCTCCTTTACCCCCTCTTTCCAACCCTTTCGAGGACGACCCCTACCCCTCCCTCCTTCCCCTATAGATTTATACGCTTTCCATATCATTCTACTTTGATCCATTCTCTCTAAATGACCAAACCACCTCAACAACCCCTCTTCTGCCCTCTGACTAATGCTTTTATTAACTCCACAACTTCTCCTAATTTCCACACTCCGAATTTTCTGCATAATATTTACACAACACATTGCCCTTAGACAGGACATCTCCACTGCCTCCAACCGTCTCCTCGCTGCTGCATTTACCACCCAAGCTTCACATCCATATAAGAGTGTTGGTACTACTATACTTTCATACATTTCCTTCTTTGCCTCCATAGATAACGTTTTTTGACTCCACATATACCTCAACGCACCACTCACCTTTTTTCCCTCATCAATTCTATGATTAATCTCATCCTTCATAAATCCATCCGCAGACACGTCAACTCCCAAGTATCTGAAAACATTCACTTCTTCCATACTTCTCCTCCCCAATTTGATAGCCAATTTTTCTTCATCTAAATCATTTGATACCCTCATCACCTAACTCTTTTCTATGTTCACTTTCAACTTTCTACCTTTACACACATTCTCAAACTCATCCACTAACCTTTGCAATTTTTCTTTAGAATCTCCCATAAGCACAGTATCATCAGCAAAAAGTAACTGTGTCAATTCCCATTTTGATTTGATTCCCCATAATTTAACCCCACCCCTCTCCCGAAACACCCTAGCATTTACTTCTTTTACAACCCCATCTATAAATATATTAAACAACCATGGTGACATTACACATCCCTGTCTAAGACCTACTTTTACCGGGAAGTATTTTCCCTCTCTTCTACACACCCTAACCTGAGCCTCACTATCCTCATAAAAACTCTTAACAGCATTTAGTAACTTACCACCTATTCCATATACTTGCAACATCTGCCCACATTGCTCCTCTATCACTCTATCATATGCCTTTTCTAAATCCATAAATGCAATAAAAACTTCCCTACCTTTATCTAAATACTGTTCACATATATGCTTCAATGTAAACACTTGATCTACACATCCCCTACCCACTCTGAAGCCTCCCTGCTCATCCGCAATCCTACATTCTGTCTTACCTCTAATTCTTTCAATTATAACCCTACCGTATACTTTTCCTGGTATACTCAGTAAACTTATTCCTCTATAATTTTTACCCCTTTTTGACCCCTTTCCCTTTATATAAAGGAACTATACATGCTCTCCGCCAATCCCTAGGTACCTTCCCCTCTTTCATACATTTATTAAACAAAAGTACCAAGCACTCCCGCGTTGACCCCCGGAACTCTCTCCAGGTAAACTCCAACACTATATCCCCCCCTGCTTTTAACATTTCTGTCATGATCCCATCAGTTCCAGCTGCTTTACCCCCTTTCATTCTACGTAATGCCTCACGTACCTCCACCACACTTACATTCTGCTCTTCTTCACTCCTAAAAGATGGTAAGCCTCCCTGGCCAGTGCATGAAATTACCGCCTCCCTTTTCTCCTCAACATTTAAAAGTTCCTCAAAATATTCTCGCCATCTACCTAATACCTCCCTTTTCCCCATCTACTAATTCCCCTACTCTGTTTTTTAACTGACAAATCCATACTTTCCCTAGGCTTTCTTAACTTGTTTAAACTCACTCCAAAAATTTTTTCTTATTTCATTAAATTTCTTGACAGTGCCTCTCCCACTCTATCATCTGCTCTCCTTTTGCATTCTCTCACCACTCTCTTCACCTTTCTTTTACTCTCCATATACTCTGCTCTTCTTATAAACACTTTGCTTTGTAAAAACCTCTCATAAGCTACCTTTTTCTCTTTTTATCACACCCTTTACTTCATCATTCCACCAGTCACTCTCTTTCCTCCTGCCCCATCCTCCTATAACCACAAACTTCTGCCCCACATTCTAATACTGCATTTTTAAAAATATTCCAACCCTCTTCAACCCCCCCACTACTCATCTTTGCACTAGCCCACCTTTCTGCCAATAGTCGCTTATATCTCACCCGAACTTCCTCCTCCCTTAGTTTATACACTTTCACCTCCCTCTTACTTGTTGTTGCCACCTTCCTCTTTTCCCATCTACCTCTTACTCTAACTGTAGCTACAACTAAATAATGATCCGATATATCAGTTGCCCCTCGATAAACATGTACATCCTGGAGCCTACCCATCAACCTTTTATCCACCAATACATAATCTAACAAACTACTTTCATTACGTGCTACATCATACCTTGTATATTTATTTATCCTCTTTTTCATAAAATATGTATTACTTATTACCAAATTTCTTTCTACACATAGCTCAATTAAAGGCTCCTCATTTACATTTACCCCTGGCACCCCAAATTTACCTACTACTCCCTCCATAACATTTTTACCCACTTTAGCATTGAAATCCCCAACCACCATTACTCTCACACTTGATTCAAAACTCCCCACGCATTCACTCAACATTTCCCAGAATCTCTCTCTCCTCTACACTTCTCTCTTCTCCAGGTGCATACACACTTACTATAACCCATTTTTCACATCCAATCTTTATTTTACTCCACATAATCCTTGAATATATACATTTGTAGTCCCTCTTTTCCTGCCATAGCTTATCCTTCAACATTATTGCTACTCCTTCTTTAGCTCTAACTCTATTTGAAACCCCCTGACCTAATCCCATTTATTCCTCTCCATTGAAACTCTCCCACCCCCTTCAGCTTTGTTTCACTTAAAGCCAGGACATCCAGTTTCTTCTCATTCATAACATCCACAATCATCTCTTTCTTATCATTTGCAC